TATATATATATATATATACTTTTGAACACTCTAATAAAAAATAATATATTTATTATTAATTAAAAGTAAAATTAAAGAAAAAGAAACCAGCATACCTTATTAGATATGCTCCCTCATCCCCTATATAAACCGGGTTGCACTCCTCTCTTTTCATCTTAATCTTGGTCGGGAAGGGCTTCCACCTCGATGAAGGATCTATGGAGGTCATCGTCCGCGGGAAAAGCATCGGTTCCGCCGCTTCCAGAATGGCTTGCCTTCCGAAGGTCTCTCACACCATTTCCTCTGTTGTCCTTCTTCCACATGCAATCTCCAATGTCATGAATCTCAAACTACAGACATCCAACTCATTGTTGGCTCTGCTAGCTATGGCTAGGGTAGACAGTATTCAGGAGCCATGTACCCCTCATCCGTGCCGAATCTGTCATATGCAAGTCCTGATCCATGAGCCTGGCAAGGTCCACAACGCCTAACTTGGCTTTGAATGCCAAATCCTGCAAGATAAACAATTTGATGGTGCTGTAGGGAGGTAGGAGTTGGCTTGATGTTGGCTATCACGACAACAACAAGGCATTAATTGTTGGCTTGATGTTGCAATGCACCACACACTTCCCATAGTTCTGTGCCTCACACGTTACTCAAAGTGCTTCATGGTGTGATAGAGGCAGGAGCCGAGGCTTCCGCTGGGCATGAACCGGTAGCACCAATCGATGAACTGCACAAGGTTCCGATCACCCGATCGACTAATCGTCTGTCTTGTCTTTTGATCCCTTAGAGAAGATCCTTTCGATGGTCACATCAAACCTCAGCTCCTTCAACCAACCTTTGTAGACTGACCCAAGTCCTCCTTTTCTCTCCTCGATGAAGTCTCTTGTTCCGGTGATCAACTCTCCACAGGGGAACCTCTTTGGCCCTCTCGCGCTCTCGAACTCGTGGTTGGTGGTTTCGTCGTGTTCCATGTCTTTCGGATCCAACACTTTTCTCTACTACGGTCCTGCTTCTTAGATGTTACTGAGTTCTTGCTCGTCTACGAGTTCATGGCCATGCCCAATGGACACCTTGATTCCTACCTCCATAGCACCAAGAAGCACTCTGAGTGGCTCGCGAGGCACAAGATTACCCTAGGCTTGGCCTCTGCAATAGGCTACCTCCATAAAGAGTGGGAGCAATGTTTGGTGCACCGCAACGTCGATCAAGCCCAACAACTTTATGCTGGATTTGGCATTCAACGCCAACCTGAGCGTTTTCGGCCTTGCAAGACTCGTGGACCATGAACATGACATGCAGACGACGGCTTTGGCAGGGACGAGGGGTTACATGGCCCTGAATACTTCCTCACCGGTGACCAACAAAGAGTTGGATGTCTACAGCTTCAGAATCGTAATATTGGGAGATTGCGTGCAGAAGGAGGACGATAGAGCCTGTCAGGGAAAAATGACATTAGAATTCAGGTAAATCTGGCTACATGTGTGGAGAAACGATGAGACGTCATCGAGGTGATGATCTGGCCTTGCAGAAGTCAGTGTTGGTGCACTCAGGTGCTCTGACATAACTTGTATAAAGATCGAGATCCAAATAGGTCTATCGGACGTCTAAGTTAATTCCTAGTTTAGGTAAAACGAGATGAAATCAATTTTTGACATACGGTGTCGTCGATACCCAAAAAATTATGGATTTAAATTTTTGACTCAATTTCTTAAGTCATTTAGGACTTATAAATACTCATCTCATATTAGTCTCACGTTAGTTGAGAAACAATAAAATTAATGGTTTATAAGTCTTTAGCATCATTCTTATTCTGTGAGGTGTCTTTTGGGGCTGACCCCGAAAGGAGTAATTCATACGAGTCTACCTAAAATGGATAATTCCTTATGAGTTTTTGTACTTATACCGATAATAATAAAATATAAACTAATAGCCATAAGCCCTCGACTATCAGAGGGTCTTGATAAAGCTAGATAATTTCTTACGAGCCTTTGTTCCAGGCTCATTAATATCTAAATCCAAATTTAATCTAAATTTAAAATTTATTTTTATTTATGTATGTAAATTCGATCTAGAATTTTCTTTTCTCAAATTTGAGACAAATTTGATTAAAGGATATTTTAATCCATTTTAAGCGGATTGCATAAACCCGACCATAAAAACCCCCGACCCTCGAACCTTCCCTATCGTCATTCCATTGGTGGGTCCCGCGTGCTCTCTAGAACGTTTTCCTAAATCGTCTCATTTACATTGCGACAGGTAAGTATTAGCGGGCCCGATATCCTTCCAATTTCAAAAACACGAATCGACGTTGCATAGACCGACTGGATCAACTCCTACTACTAGCATAGGCAACGAGCATCCTTATGGCTTCTAATCGAGCCACAGGAGCAAAGGTTTCTTCGTAATCAATACCTTCTTCTTGGTTGAAACCTTTGGCTACTAATCTAGCCTTATTTCTAACTACGATACCAGATTCATCTTACTTGTTTCTAAAGATCTATTTAGTACCAATAACTAAATGGTCATTTGGCGTAGGAATAAGCTTCCGTACCTCATTTCTCTCAAACTGATTTAACTTATCTTGTATTGTGATAATCCATGAATCATCTTTCATGGCTTCGTCAATATATTTAGGTTCAATTTGGGAGAGAAAAGTGGTGTTGGCACAAAAAATTTTAAGAGAAGAACATGTTTGAACCCCATTAGATGTGTCTCATATGATTAACTCCTTAAGATGAGCATATATATACTTCTAATCTTTGGGTAAGGATATTTCGGAAGTGGATGCATCCAAGTTGTTATTTGAAGAAGGAGTTTTATTTAAATTCAAAGTATCAAAATTAACATCATCATCAAAATTATTTTTTTTAATTTCGAAAATCTCATTAAAAATAATGGATTCTTCTATAATCAAGATTCTTTTATTAAAGATACGAAATGCTTTAGAAATCGAAGAATACCCAAGAAAAATTCCTTCATCGAATTTAGCATCAAATTTTCCTAAAACATCTTTTTCATTCAAAATAAAACATCTACACCCACAAACTTTAAAATATAAACGTCTTACAACAACTCTAAAAGTATCACGGTCGATGTCACGTCCCATAAACTACCAATTGATTGGGACCCACTCTTCGGGTCCTTGGAAGCTGACATCACCCCTGAAGTTTGCTGCTCACTCGGTCCTGCTGGGTTGACGTTCATCGACGGCGTTCCTTCGGTCCCGTTTTCTTTACCCATCCACTGTTGTGCGACCCGCTGCCGTTTGCTGCCCAATCAGCTTCTGATCAGTTTCCTAGTTAAGTTCAAGAACCCGTTTTCCGCTGAGCGGTCCACCACGCCTCGCGCGCCGAGCACGTGCCGACCCGCTTCTTTCGTCGCCTGGAGAACCGCTGCTTCGCGTCGCGACAAGATGACGTGGCGGAATTGAGGGCCCGAAGCGGCGGGCGCGGCTCTTGATGTGCGCCAGCAATGTCTGTCGTGACTCATGTCGTCTCATTCGTTGGGACGTGAGGCGACGACTTATTTGCCCCAACGCCTCGCGCGGGGAGACAAGTCTTCTTTGTGGCAATCTCATCGCCATTTAATGGCGGACGGTCGCCATCTCTTCTTCGTCACCGACGATCTATCGACCCACTTGTCCGCTCCGGCCTCCTCCTGGTCCTCTCCCTCCGCTTCCCGTACCCCCACTGCTGTCCCGGACTCCTTCGTCCCCGTCTTCTCGTCCGGCCCCTCGTTCCGAGACCCAGATTCCGACTCTAGCTCCGGCCATTCCGACTACTCTGACGACGACCATTCCATCCTCTCCCTTGACCTCTTCCGCCGCCGCCGCCTTCGCCACCAGAAACCGTCCTTCGTCTCCGGCACTGCCATGGACCACCACTTCCCGGAGCCCTTCGGTTCCCCCGTCTTTAGGGTTTCTGAGGGACCCGAGGAGATTGGCACCCCTGCCTGCCTCGGCGTTGGGCTTAGGCCACGGTTCGACAGGGAAGAAGATGACGACAACGCTCCGGAGGATGCAGACAGGGAGGTGGTTGTTCCGGATTGGGCAACGGACGACTTCTTCGTCGGGAGGAGGAGCTCCCCTTCCGATTCGATCGAGTTCTCGAGGGCTCGGCCAATGGATTCCTGGGATCTTAGGGTTGCCGGATTCGACTCTGATTCAGATTCGGATGAGCAGATCGTGGCGATGGGCAACGAACAGATTGTTGCGATCGGCATGAATTCCGATGACGGCGAGGAACGGTACAGGATCTCCGACGATTTAGGTCTCCCTTTCTGTTGGGAAGGCCTCCAACTGGGTGACGACCGGAGGGATGACAACGAGGGGTTCGAGTGGGAGGAGATCGATCGTCAGGACGAAGAAAGGGATGTTCTTGGTATTATGGTTCTTGGCAACGAGGGGAGATCTGATGAGACTAGACGATACAGTGATGATCAAGTTGAGCATGAGCATGAAGGATTGGTCAGAAACGTTGATTGGGAGGTCCTTTTGGCCGTGAACAATTTGGGAAGGATCCCTTTGGATCCTGATGATGTCGAACCCTATTTTGAGGATCAAGACGGCCTTGTCTATACATCTGATTACGAGTCCTTCGAGGTCTTGTTCACGCAATTCAGCGAGCAGGATAGCAATCCCAAGGGTAGCCCTCCAGCGGCGAAGTCCGTGGTCGAGAACCTCCCATCTGTTGTCTTGATGAAAGAAGACACTGCTGATGTTGATACAGTTTGTGCGGTTTGTAAGGATGGGATTCTGAATGAGGAAAGAGTTAAGAGGCTGCCGTGTTTCCACCATTATCACGAGGAATGCATCTTGCCATGGCTGGGGATCCGCAACACCTGCCCCCTCTGTAGATTCGAGTTGCCAACAGACGATCCTGAATACGAGAAGCAGAAGGCAAGGAGGGAAGATGCGAGTGTTATCCTGCATAATGAAGCTCGGCTCAGGTATGATTTTGAAATGTTACCTGAAGCTGACAACCTCTAGGCAAAGCAGTTCTATCTTATATGCACGCTAGGTTATGGTTGACTTCTATTCTGATGTTGTTGTGTTGATCTATAACATTTTTTTTTGGGTTATAGAACAGCCCTCATATTGATGAGGTTTTGTTAGAGTTGTGTCAGCTGTTCATTTGGGAATTGGTTCATGATGCTACTGTATATTGACAACAATCTGAAGAAATATGGCTTGCATGAGTACAATCTTTCACAGTTTATAATTTGTTGATTTTGATGCAATATATGTTTTTTTGTTCCAGGTTTTGTAATTGTTGGAATTAAAGCTGCTCTTGGTTGATTATTTATCCTGTTGTTTTACATTGCTAAATTAAATTGGTTTAATTGATGAGATCAAAACCTTCTTGCATTGTTATATCATGCTTGACTACACAAGAGCATATGATCCTATCAGTTAAGGATCCTGGATTGGAGTCAGTTGGTTTCATCAGCCGCTCTCGTTCATTCAATTCATGGAGTTCTAAGATAATGTGGTGCACAAAGTTGTCTTTTTTTTTTAAACTGTGCAAATGGGAATCTGTAGATTTACCTCATCTTGTTATATCTTATCTGTACACAGAACTAATGTTTTTTTATACTCCATGATATCTACAAAGAATTCTTTATGCTGATTGCTGAAATATCTCTAGTGGTTTATGGAAATGAAGAGTTCTAAAATTTTCATTGTGTCTAGTATCTTTCTTCTTTTTCATTCTTTCTTAGATAGTATCTGTATGCTTCTTATTATAGTCTTGAGTGTGTGTGTATTTGCTGCTCATGGGTCTGATAACAAGTGGGTCACATCAACTTTCACTGAATCTTCTTCTCTCTAGCTGAGTTAGTTTGTTGATGATGACTTCATATGGAGTTTCATATTGATTTTAACATTGTTTCTCATCAGACAGTAATTGTATTGGTTTCATTCTGTTCTGGATATGATCTTGACATACTCTTAAATCAACAGCTGGATCATTGTTGTTCGGTTTAGTTTCGCGCAAGCAAAACATACATACTGCTTGGGAGTCGCTTAGTTCCAGCCTTTCCTCCTTATCAACATCATGTTTAGATTCTTTATTTATTTTATATCCAATTACCACTTTCACTGAACATTACCTAATGTCTCAATCTCTTATTCGACATCACTTGAAACTGACTCTTCGATGTATCTCATCCTATTACCATCATCTTTTGAATTTGGTTTAATGTTGCCATGTCCTCAGCCATCAACTGTGCAAATGGTTCAATTTTTCATTAGATGTTGAGACCAGCCTTGTTTTTAAACAACACACTAAAATGCTTTGAATATCACAGAATGAACACTTAACCTTTCAATATACATGCATGCATTTGTCAGCATATTTTGATTTGGTAAACAAAAGGCATGTTGCGAAATCCAATATATAGGACTTTACATGTTAGATTTGTTTTCACATCCAAGATTTTGCATTAGTCATCAAGGAAAGAAGCATGTGACTGACAGAAAATCTTCTGCTGGGTTCACACATTGTGGGCATGAGCTAAGCTTGCCTGAACAAACACATTTTGCTTCTGTATGTTTGAGCATGACAATCGATGGAACATGTTTTTGATGTGACTTGACTATAGAAGAGTTCTAGCATGATAGCACTAAACATAAATGCAAATTTACTTGCTTTTGAGCAGTGGCTAACCCTAAAGAGCCAAAGGTGCAGCAACAGAATTTTAATTTTTCTTCCATTGTGTATGAGAAATTTGTGTAATGTTGGTAGGCCTAGTCATTTTATTCTTTACTATGTTAATATCAGAAATTTTTATTTTATTGTGTATAGGATGAATTTACTAATCATTTACATGATAGGTATATGTTTTTATGATGATAATATAAGTAAAATTAATTAAAATTAAATTATAAAGATGATCCTTAGAAACTAAATATTTTAGATAGGCATGAGTAAAAGTGAATATAAGATATAATATTAATAATTTTAGGAATAGATAAGAGAATATAGATGAAAAATAAATAAATAAAAAAATTAAGATATTGTGAATCAATTATTCAATAAAATGATTAGATGATATTTTATTCTGCAATGTGCAATGTGAACGAATGTGGGGAGAATAAGGCAACAGGAAATGTGAGGTGACACTTGCGATTTCGGACCGTTATTCTTAATGACGCATCTCTTGATATCTTCTATCGAAGTATTATGTATGTATGTATGTATATTGTTGATTTTTTTTCCTTTTAGATCTGGATTTACTAAAATAAATTCTGTCTTCTTAAGAACTTGTTGAGGAAAAATATAAGAAATTTAAAATAAAAAAAGAATAAATAGACCAAAGATTAGAACGCAACGATGACAATTCTTTGTTGTGATTTATGATATATTCATTTCTTCTTTCCTCTTTAGTTTGCATTACATAAGGTATTTAGTTATTGCATGGGATTGTTTTGGGTCTCATTCTCAACTAAATGGTCTGAGTGCTGCTGTGGGCCGAATCCATCGCAACTGGAAGCGCCAAAGATGACGCGGCAAATTGCAGAGCTTCCTTCACCTCCCGCTGCCCTGCTTGTTTGATCGCCCTTCGTTCATAGCGCGCATGAGCACCACCATCTCTCTCGATGCGTGAGCGTCCGCCACATGCTTGCGTGTCTGCTCCGACCCACATTCATGGAAGAAGGCACCGAAAGATGGTAACAGACACTTGCCGCCGACCTGCTTGTGAACCTTAACCTTCGTCGGCCAATCCTATCAGGCTGCTGCACGGACAAATCAAAGGTGTAAGTTCACAGCTGATGAGGTAATCATTCCAAGATCTAAAGCTACGTATACATGCTACTGGAGTTCTTTTTCCCGTCATATGTCTTTCTGCTTCAATTTTTGCTATGTATAACTTGATCTCCTTTTCTTTTACCCGTCATAGCATGTTATAATTTATTGACTAGTTTTATGTTAAGACGAAGCTACTTTTCCTTCGTGTTCATGGCTCACCCATCTCACCAGTCGCCCTTTTGATTGGAGACATTAGTGAAGCAGCTGATGTTTGAATAAACCTTGACTTGACAATGATGTTAGCAAGAGTTTCTTGCACCACTCTGGAGAGGAGTAGGTACAGAGGAGATCTTGATACGAGGGAGCAGAGAAGACTGGGTGTGGATGAGGTGCGGCCGCAACCCGCACTGGGTTGTGTACCACCGGCTTTTGCACCTCCCGGTGGGGGTCACCACTCGGTTTTGATGCCCCTCCATGGCAGACACAGGGTTAGAAGATCGGTGTGTGGCGGCATCGAAGTGACCACCAGCCATGGTCTTTTATCCGTATCTTCCCCCTCCTCGGAGCTTCTAGTTTCTGAAAGACTGCGCGAAGCAAGTTGCCTCCATTTCAAATGAGTCATACGACGGCATGGGTCACCAGGAAAATGAATGAAGTGGAGACTAACAGTAGGAGGTTGTCTTCAGCAGAAGCAAACTTGATGTTATATCTAATCCAACAAAAGTGCCTCCATCTTAATCCCCTAGAAGCCAATCCCAACTTGATACGGAGATGAAGAGTAAAGACATCTCTTCTGCTTCTTTGAGTCACATTGCACAAGGAATTTGAGACAAATTGTTCTTCTCTACTGTACTTGGTCACCATTAGTTTGAGACAGATTCAAGCAGGCATAAGGAAAAAGACAGCTAAAATATTGTAAATAACTAAAAAACAATATAGAGAATTTGGTTTTGCATTTGCTAAAATATACTAAAATAACTATGAAAACAACACATTTAGTGCTCATACATATTTCTGCAATAGTTATTTTTTTCCTTTTATTAATAAATAATCTTACATTTTATATAAGAGAAAAGATAAATGAGTAGGATTTGGAAAGTGTTATTTTTCCTACAAGTTCTACAAAGAGAATTGAATTTATTTTCTGATTGAGTGCTGAGCAAGGAAATTGGATCTTTCAGCAATTATGCTATTAGATGCACCTCATCTAATTCTTTCTTCTTCTTCTTCTTCTTCTTTTTCATTCAACAGTTTGCTTTTAGCTCTCGTCAATTTTATAGCAAAACAGTATTGAGTTTCATTTTTTAATCTTTAGATTCTCCAAATGTCTTATTATTGAAAACAATGCCAGCTATATCCACTGCATATGATTGCATTCTAAATGTGAGATTTTTGGCATCAGTTAGATTTAACATTTGTGTTTCTCCAAGGACTTTGTTGTATACCTTTTTTTTGTTGGGAGAAAATTTAATTCTTCCTGATTTATTATTTTTTGTCATAATTTAGTTCTTCCAAATTTGCAAGATTATTAGGATTTTGTATATATATATATATATATAACACAAAGTATGCAACAACCAGTCCACCTTTACCTTTCCATATATGCCTCCTTTGTTCTAGAAAATAACAGTGTATCTCTGTCATTTTTGGTAGTTCTTTTATTTGTCAAAGATGTTATCATAACAAAGAAGAATAATTCATTTTTTTTGTAGGTCAGTTATATATAATCAAATAAAGGAGATAATCTGTGAATAGAAGGAGATGTGAAGAAATGGGTTAAAAAAAAAAAAATCCATTTTCATAAAATTACTATACAAAAAACTAAATCAAACATATAGACAATATTACTAGTTAACATTGTAATTAGAAATATATAGTATGCAAAAGAAGACTCTGCCCTTGCAGGAGTTGAGACATGCAACAGATGGTATCATCCTCTTACATGCAGATTCCTCAACATATCATTAAGATTGTTTTTGCAGATCAAAATATTTAGATTATTTTGATCTAAGAAACCAAAATATTTCATCAAAGCAAACTACACATCAGTTATGAAAATTTGCCTGGATGCAGAATCCTCAACATTATCCCTGATAACATTTTTGAGAATAAGAATCCTTCATTTGTTTTCATGCACAACAGGAAAAAAAGGAGAGAGTAGATTTTGTATCTGAGAAACAAAAATGAGCACCAAGAAATCAGAGAGAAGAATGATTTTGATCGAGCGCAGGACTGACCGAGAACATATTTCAAGATATTTCAAGATGAGAAACACTTGCCGTACAATGAAAAGTGACAGCATATTTCAAGATGACTGCTGTCTTCAACCGCAGGGCTGACTGAGAGCAGCAGCTGCATCGCAACTTGTTCCGACAAGGGAGGGTGCACAGATGAGGTACCCGTCAAATCCAGTCTCCTCCGTACTCTAGAAACTCCCAAGACCTCAATCATGACCACCGTGCTCTTCCTGCACTGTGACCGAACGCATCCCAAGAACAGTACTTCAACGCATGCTTTCAACGCCTCCATTGTTTGTGGCCTTTTTGTCCGTCCTCGACACGTACAGCCCCGTAGCTGAGACGAGGAATGCTTCATTGCAGATTGATAAGTATTAAGTATTTATTTGCCTATTTGAAGGATAAGTTTCGTTGGTGGGTGCTGTTTGAGGACAGGAGATGGGAGTCAAGATGTGACTTAAAGATGGCAACAAAGTTTGCTTCTGATGCTCCACAGCAAGCACCAAATAACACCATGTTTTCCTCACTGCAACCCTCTTGGCTGATGCCAAGTAGCCTGAGCAGTTTAGTCCACAAGAACATGGAGAAGAACATTTTGCCATGCATCACAAACCAGAGCCATCCCCAAGATTTCCCTGTCTTCCATCCAAGCACAACACTGAGACAGTGCTTTTGGAGTTTGGCTCACTGCCAAGCCATCATCATATCTCGGATTACATTGGTTTGACACATGGATGGTGAAGGGCAATTTCGAGTTTTCATGAGGGCCACAAGGAGGAAGCATGGCAGCATTGATGAGAGTGATGGTGGCTAAAACACACAGTAGATGACAAAGTAGATGACAATGTTAAGTGTGAGAGACAAGATGATACGTGCAGATAAAGTGCAAGATATCACCTGCTGCAGGCCTGAAGAGAAAGGAGAGTCATGTTATGGCTTCTCCAGAATGTGCATGAGGACAGACAAACACACAGTGAGTTGCTGTTGATCCTGTTGTTCTATCTGATTTTGAGCTCACCTTTGGTGGCCAAAACATCTCAATGAAGTATAAGAGAATATGATACATGCAGATAAAATGCAGAAATCATCTGCTGCAGGCATGATGAGAAAAGAGAAGCAGGTTATGGGTTTCTCCAGAATGTGCACGAGGACAAACACAAGGTGAGTTCCTATTGATCTTCTTCTTCTATCTGATCTTTAGCTCACCTTTGCTGAAAAGGTTAAGACAAAAATCTGGATCAAGTGATGTCTAACAACAATGCATGACCAAATGCAGTTCCAAACACACAGTGAGTTCCTATTGATTTTCTTGTTCTATCTGATCTTTTTGAATTTAGTATCTAAATTGATTAGAATTCTGGAGAAGAGCCAATATAAAAGACAAAGTATCTTTCAACTTGGAAAAGCTTGGGAATGGGATTACACTGTGCACTAGCCTCTATCACATCAGTTTTGGCCCCAAAGCCATGTTGACAATGCTATAACCAATGACATAAGAGAAGTGTTTCAGTGGAGATCACTCTCAGATGCTGAAGGAAAGGAAGACTCAATGGCTCTTGGTTTGTGTTTACTCTAAACCACAGAAACCTGGGAAAACCTGCCTCTTACAGTCTTCTTTCCTCTTTTTTTCCTCTTCTCACTGAGCAAACCTCCATTCATCTGTCCAATGGCAAATAGAGCAGATGTTTGCTGAGGGTATCAATCCTCATTACCTCAAGATTCAATATGCAAACTAGTTAAATAGCAAAGGTTTCAAAGAACTTCCAAGTAACACTGAAATAGATTAATATATATCTTCAAAAGCTTGATGTAACCAAGTGACATTAAGATATTCATGCTCTTGTTGTTATAATTACAAGATGAAAGAATGAGAGAAAGGAGCATAAGAGAGGCCTTTGGCAGTATATAACCATTAAAAACCAATTGGTTGCACTTGGCATTGAATATGTTAGGAAATGGCATGAGAGGGAGAGAGAGAGAGAGGCTTTGGCAGTGTATAATCATTAATAACCAATTGGATGCACTTGGCATAGCAGAAGTTATAATATCACACAAGATCTTGCAAACCAGAATAAAGTGAAGTAAAAGAAAATGACACCCCTCTAAGGGTTTATCCACTCCACATCTACATTAGAGTTTAATATGAATTGGATCCTTTCCTAATTGCATTGAGTATTTAGAATGACTGGTCATCCAAGTTTTCGAGAGTTCAAAATTCTTTATTTATCGGATATTTAATTAATATTTATGTACTATTTTTCTCTCAAGATATGTGTAAGACCCATCCAATAAAAAATCATTATCATCCGCAGCCACAAATCGACCCATCCTCCATCATCCATTGCTCCACCATGACATCAAGATCCTGCTACTCTCACTTTGTGCACGGGTGAATGCCCTTCGCTGTTCTCCAACCAGCACTTGGTTTGATGGTAACAGCACCTGATGGCTGTGATGAACAGCACATCACTGTTTCATCACCATCGGGCAGTCATAATGGTGAACACTGTGTCCATCATCTTCTACCTACCAACCTTGGGGGAGAGGAACTACTGCCTTCTGCACTATATATTAACCCACCAACCTTCAACCCTTCCTCCCCTTCCTCAGGCATCTGCTTGTAGCATCTCCTTCCTCCGTTGACTCCCCTCTCCCCCCTCCTTCTCTCATGCAGAACATTATTTCCATGCATCCTGGAGAGATTGCCAGCTTCGGCTACCTTTCACCTTCAGATTCACCTGCTTTCAGTGTCACCTCCCATCTTAGCAGCCTCTTTGGACCTTATCTCGCACAGCAACTCCAGACCACTCCGTTGATGCACTGCCTCAGTAGCAGCGCAGCTTGGGATGAGGCAGGCGGGCACCAACTGAGCGTAGCAGAAGAGAGGAGGAAGAGGAGGATGATATCGAACAGGGAGTCAGCTCGGCGGTCGCGGATGAGAAAGCAGAAGCACTTCAGCGAGCTGTGGACGCAGGTCGTCCACCTCCGGTCGGCGAACCGGCAGCTCCTCGACGAGCTGAACCGGGTGATGAGAGAGCGTGATCGGATCATGCACGAGAACGACCAGCTCAGACACGAAGAGACCGAGCTCCGGAAGAAGCTTGAGAGGTTACCGGCGGTGTTCGGCTGTGCTCCACATGGTGCAGAGAAGCTTTGATGAGGGGGAGATGCTCTTTTTGTGTGTTCTTCCGTTCCCCATTCTTCGAATTCTCTCTTTGTGCGGCATGAACATTAGAATTCCACCTAAATAAAGATATAGAATGTGTCCGACGAAGTTCGATTTGATCTCATCAAATTTCCAGATCAGGATGGCTGGAGCTTCTGTTCGACTCCTGTCCAGTTTCACCAGTGAGAGATGGCAAGCAGCTTAATGAACACAGAGATGAATATGAAGTATATATGTTGATCCAAACCATTAAAGTTCAGTAACAACAGATGGATGGAAGTTTATCCATAGAACTCGAACACATCTATATTCTAATAAATCTCATTGACCTATTAACTTTGTTGAGTCTGTATTACTAATCTAAAATGTCTAAGCTCAATTTAGTAATAATATATCCTTACCAATCAACAGTATCACATCAGGGTTCAGAGGGGCTACCAAACTGTGATCTGATAATGAAATGATATAACAAGCAAAACTGTTCAAGTAGTTGTAGTAGAACAGAGGAAAGTTGCAAGTGGAAGTGGTTTGATCATGGTGGATATATTATGCAACAGTACCACAAAAGGAAATGTCTTCATATCCTGTTCAGGTCTGTTGCAGGTTGTAACCTGTTCCATAATAACATATGAAAAGGTACAGCCAAAGAGGAAAGACTGTTCCCTAACTTAGCTTTGATCATGAATGCCTGGCCTGGTCAAGGTTGGGAGGAACAAGTTTGCTTGCCCTGTTTCAGGTAGCCTCCTGCAGCATGTGGTCATCACTTGTTCCCAATCTTGCAAATCCTCCTTTTCTTGCAAATAAGTGAATTGGAAATGTCAATCCACCCAACTTAATGTAAAAGCTTGGTCAGATGAATCATGCTCACCAATTTCTCCTTTCTGCAAGAGGTATCTTGGATTTTATCTTTACACTTCTTTCTGAAGATGCCAATTGGTTAAGGTTGTCATTGTTACATGTTGTTTGTACAAGTGATCTTTGCTATTTTAGCAATCTATATTGCTTTTCAATCACTATTAGTCCTGAAATTTGATCTGATTGTGCACTTTGGAACATAAAAGACAGACTTAGAAGTAACTTGATCATCTAGCAAAATTGATATCGTCCGAAAACTTTTTATTTACAAACAAACAAGAGTAGAATATTGCTAGCATATATAAGATGACAAATTCTATATAACTGCTCAAAACAAAGAGGAGTCAGTACATTGTCATAAGCTTTCAATCAGCATGAAACATCAGAACTGGACTACAAGGACTTTATTGTCATAAGCTTCATTAAGCATGAAACATGAGAACTGAACTAAAAGGTCTTTAAAGTAAGGAAAAAGAGGATCTCCTTGTTGTCATAAGCTTCCTTAGGCATGAAACATGAGAACTGGACTAAAAGGACTATGAAGTTAGGAAAAAGAGGATCTCCTTATCGAATATCAATTTAGCCTTTATAAAAATTCAGAGAAGTACCATTGATAATAGAACACAGGAGACAAAATCCGTGCATTTATCCAATCAATGAAGCTAGCATGAAGATTCAAGAGCTTAGGAACATTGATAATGTCACTCCACAACATTCTAAAAAACTAAACAAAACATCTTTGCCGTCTACAGTTTGCTGACTTACAACACCTGACTACAAAACCTATAAATCCAACCCCAGATCATTCCTTATGATGGAAAACCAAGATGCCGAAAACACAGAACACCCATCTCACAGAGTGAGTTCACATCAAGAATCCTGGTACTAGCACTCTGTTACTCGAGACAAACACATTAAGAGTTTCTGATAAACTAGGGATGTACTTGAGCGTTATTAACTAATCCAGGTTCCCATGACGTTGAGGATGATCACGAGTTAAATACAATGTCCCAAGTTGTCTCCCATTCTAGTCAGAAAAGAAGAGGTACTTGTTCCTCTAGTTCCCCTTCATGCCACACAAAACACTTGCAGCTTGACGAGCGAAGTAAGTTAGGATGATGTCTGCACCAGCCCGTCTAAGGCATAACAGTGACTCCATCATGACCTTTTCCTCATCAATCATTTTGAGAACCCCACCAGCTTTTATCATTGAATACTCACCAGACACCTGTAACAACAATCAGAGGTACTAAACTTTGGAATTTAGGATGTTACAATCATGAGTTATTATCAGAAAAGGATGTTACAGATGCCATTGGGTCCAAGTGAATAGAGCTAATCAGCTGCATTACATGGTACATATTAAATAACTTGCAGTAGCCATTTCTTTGCACAAATCAGGTGTTCAATATAGGGACCATACTGGTCATGGAGCCAGAAAACATAATAAATAAATAAATAAATAAATAAATAAATAAATAGATTCCTGCTTCAAGAAGTAAAGAAGGGTAGAAATTTCCTCTAAAAATAGACAAAAAACATCCACATTTGAAGTTCATTAACATGCATAGTTTGGGTCAGGTCCATACTAGTTTCAAATATTATTCAGTTTTTGGTGAAATAAACAAATTTGTTCAAGTTAAGAAGAGATTCTCTGTTTTCTTAAGTGCCCACACCTACAGAGAGTTCAATGCACCAAGCAATACTAACAGAAGCGTGCTAAACATAGCAATAGCTGCACTCAGATGAAAGCAGACATCAACCAGTAATTTAACTTTGAAATGAATCTTCTATAAATGAAGAATTGTAGAAAAAGTTTTTTTTTTAAGATGTGATACTGTAAAATATTTATAATTGTTATCCATCCAAAAAAAGAAGGTACATCAATTTGTCAGCAACTGAATCTGACTTCCATTGAAAATTAGGACACCCATGTCGGGTATTCTTTATGATAAGTTAAGGACAATATGTACATGAATTCCAAAGCTAAGGATGTGTTTGATGCAAAAAAAAAAAAGGTGATGCAGAATGCAAAAGGTAGAACTTACCTGATATGCAGCTATTGGTAAAGAAGAACTATCACGAAGAAGACGTATAATGTCCAAATACGGCAACCCTGGCTTTACCTGTGAGACAGAATTACAGAGCTCCTAAACTGAAAGCCTAGAGGAAAAATACAAGGACATGTTCACATGATGTGTCATAGATTACATATGAAGAAACCAACTCACCAGAAGAATATCTGCCCCTTCAGCCTCATCTGCCTCAGTTTCTACAAGGGCCTCTCTATAGTTTGCTGGATTCATCTGGTAACTTCAATTAGAAGAGGTGCACTTAGTTTTGAGCAAGAAAATTAATCAAGTTGATGACATTTAGAAGTTATCAATTAGTTACATACGTTTTCTTGTCCCCAAAACGTGGATTTGAATCCAAAGCTTCCCTAAATGGACCATAAAATGCACTGGCATACCTGTTTAAATGCATACAAATAATAATAGTGGTCAGGATAAAGTTACTGAAATTTGGAATTTGGACCACTTGCAACGTAGTTATCAACATTGCACTAAAAGCCCCAAGAATCCAAACCAGTCTAAGAACAATACTTTGCTGTGTAGGACATTATGGATACATCGTGGAAACCTTCAGCATCAAGCGCCATCCGAATTGCTAAAATTCGACCATCCATCATATCACTAGGACTAACAACATCAGCACCTGCACGGGCCTGTATGTGAAACAGGTACCATAAACTCACTGAACTGCTGTTCACTACAGTAATATAATAAAATCACCTAAAATAAACTTTAAATACCTGCGAAACTGCCTGTCTGCATAACTGATGCACTGTTTCATCATTCATAATAACACCTATAGTGAAACAAAAGGTAAAACATATCAGTATCATTTTTTTTTTTGTTTCCTTGTACATGTTTACTTGTTTGCGAGAGGTTGATTGGTGTTTTGGTAAACACCAACTGACTTGACAAAAAATCAACATATGCAACAAATCCCCCTCCTTCCAAGATGTATTGAGTGCAAAGATGCAAAACATTCCAACAGAGATCTTTAAAAGAACAGAGTTCTTCTTGATCAGTCAATAACAAATGTGCAATTTATTATCAACTAAATTTGGGATAAATGAAGAGATCTGCTATATTATTCCTTAATATTTATGGTCATATAAATTTGTCTCGATGCTGCACATTGCATTCCCTGGTTAAATAAAAGACGATGACAACTGTAGAGACCACTTAATTTGTCTCATTTTTTACCTTAAAATGTAAATTATTCTTTTATCATGTAATGTTATACAAGACCTGTAATCTTCTTGTCCAGCATAATTTACTGACAAGAAAGATATGAACAGCAATCCTCCTGATCTGGATTCTATAAATACTCCCATTCAGAAGTGATCTTATCCATGTCTAGTTTGAAGCATATGGTTTCTATCATGCTTTTCTTATCGACCACTAGGAGGAATTAATATCTCATCGTGGTCCAGTTCCTCATCCATATAGCATGAGTAAATTTCTACTAACTTTAGTTAACAAAAGGCTAAAATATGAGTCTTGTACCTGATTTGATAATAAAATGACACCAAATTGATAACAAGATGAAATTAAAATGCTGAACTTAAGTACCCCTTACCATCTTCCCTCACGATTCCATCATGCCCATCCGAGGAATAGGGATCCAGGGCAACATCAGTGTAAATAACCTAACACATGCTGAAAATTTTAATGGAAACCACAAAAATGCATAACAATAGTGGACAACAAATATGCTCACAATGTCAGGGTATTTGTCCTTAAGAAGGCGTATGGCTCTAGGTACTAAACCATTGTCATTGTATGCTTCATCTCCTGTTTGTGACTGAACCAACAAAAGTCGCACATTTCATATCAAAAGATATGAAGGATCCAAAAGATAAAAGAAATTCTCAGAAAGAAACCTTCAGTGCATCAGGAATTTTAGGAAATAGCACAAAGCTGTTAACACCAACATCCCGTGCCTTGTAAACCTGCAAATAGGAGTATTTAGTTAAGACCATTAAGCTCTGCAGGTAACAAGACATTCAGAAAAGAAAATAGGCTGTTGCAAAGGAGTAAAAAAAAACACACATTTGTTTTGTTTATACAGAGAAAAATTCTCCTTCCTTTTCTGTAAGTAAGAGCACAAATTCCAACAAATTTTCAGGGTATTCCATCTAATGATATCCTTCTGTCTATACGATGTTAATTGTGCTAACACTT